TTAAGGAAACTTGTGCATACCAGGAAGCCTGACCCCCACAAGCCAGTGGCCCAGCTGGCCTCTCTGGTCACGTGACCCTCCAACAGGAAGTGGATCTTCAACTCAGGAAGCAGCAGCAGGATGTTGGACAGCATGCAGATGATTGCCATGGGAACCAGAGAGACGCCAACACACCACAGACACCTGGACACACACATCTGTCGGCCATTTACGGCGTAAATGGGTTAATATGAGGCTCTGTTAGATCTCATGTTAATCATAGTACAGTCCATAAAGGGTTCTTGGGTATCGGGTTCATTCTCCTGCTCTGCATTTTCAAAAATTGTTAAAAAATTTTAATAATCAATATTTGTGATTACACACAGCAACGTGATTGTGAAACTTTTAATGCTAATACATAAATTATTAACCAGACCTGCCATACCATACCAACTTTACTTATAAAGCACTAAAAACAACCAGAGTGCACCAAAGTGCTGTACATTGCAATAAAACAGTATAAATTATAAGCCCACAAACAACAATATAAAATATAATCAATATAAAAAAAATGACTAAAATCAACACAAAAATAAAATATCAAAATGCCAGGGAAAATAAATGAGTTTTTAAAAGAGACTTAAAAACAGACAGGGGAGAGGCTTGTCTAATGGACAGCGGTAAATCATTCCAGAGTTTGGGACCAGCAACTGCGAAGGCTTGATCGCCTCTAAGCTTACGCTTTGTTCTTGGGACACTCAAGAGAAACTGGTTTGCTGACCTCAAAAGAGCGTGTGGGTGTATGCCAATGAAGCAAATGAGATAAGTAGGATGGTGCAGAGCCACGAAGGGATTTAAAAACAGTAAAATTTTGTAATGGACCCGAAAATGGACAGGTAACCAATGTAGGGAGGCCAAAACTCATATTTCTTTGTACCTGTTAAAAGATGCACTGCAGCATTTTGGACCATCTGGAGGTGAGTGATAGAAGACTCACCTCTTCAGACCTCTTCAGGGTTTTGTTGCTGGTCCTTGATATTTTATAGTACCATGAGTGTGTAACATCCTGAATGCAACACAAACCCAACATTACTGCATCCACACATGTCAGTGTGAATTTTCACATAACACAGTTAATTAGTATGGTCCCTGTTAAATAAGCTAGTAAAATTAACATCTGGGCAGCCTTTAAATGGACACTGCTGGCTTCAATTTAGGAAACTGGAACTTTGTAATCAACCCCTGAATTAGCACCTTTGTGTTATAAGGGTCTTAGTAATGTTATTAGACAAACGGTAATAAATGTCGGCTTGTTCCCCATTGGTTGCTTGCCTCCTATTATAATTAATGTTGCTATGAATTAATCTTATAATCTCTTATAACGGATATAACTTCCGGAGCCGACAGTAATGGCAGTCGTGGTTACTCGCGCTCTCATGTGTTTGTTGTTTTTCTTTGTCTTGTGCAACTCATCCCGGATTACTTTTACCAGAGAAGAACTGTTAAATATGGGACAATTCACACCAAACTACCTTCCTTCGATTTTTGTGAACGATGAATGCTGTATGGACATTCTGATTGGAGGCGCAGCAGCGATATACGGGATCTGGAAAAGACGCCTCCGGCGTGGAAAGTGCTCTGGTGCAGTTACGACAGTGGGGAACTCGGACCTCACTCCCATCTATTCACCTGGCTAGTCTCTGCTCCCTGGTCAACAAAATGGATGAAATTCTTCTCATCAACAGGACTAACTCTGACTTTGCACTGTGAGGTATTTTTAGTCAGATAGATATTGGTCAGATACTTGTATTAGGAATGTTTAGAGTAGACAGGATGTCTAGTTAGACTGTTAATGCTTAGTCATTCTTATGAGTTTCTACAGGGTACATCTGGTCAAGGATAACTAGAGAGAAAAGTTGATGACTGTCAGCAGACAGGATGTTTAATATTATTATTAGGATGTGTATAACTGTAGCCTTAGCCATAATATTTTCTTATGTTTAATGTCATGACATGTTACTAGAGGTCATGTGAGAATGTTTTTAGCTACACACCACATAATCACCAGACACACACATTTATTTTGTTCATGTTTTGACTACTGCTCTGGTCAGCTGCAAAGCTGGCATCGGGACACGTCACGGTTTCGCATTCCTGTTAGTATGGGGCTAGCCCAACCTAAGTGATAAATGTATTAGGCCTGTTGGGTTCGGGGTCTTTCGTCTTCAGTTGCCTGCGTGCATGTTGGAGGTGCAAGATACCTGTGTGTGTAATGTTAATTTTTTACCTGTGTTCATTGAATAAATCAGCACTGTTTTGAAGTTACTTGGACTACTTCATCTGTCAGAGTTAGCATGGTTAAAAGAATTGGAATGCAACAGCACGCTCTGCTGCTTTGTGCTTCACGGAGACCTGGCTCAACGACTCCATCGTGGACAGCACGATTCAAGTACCGGACTTGCAGGTGTTCAGAGTGGATCGTGTAAAGGAGCTGTCTGGGAAAACGAGAGGCGGTGGAATCTGCTTCTACATAGATGAAGGTTGGTGCACAGATGTCACAGTGCTACAGAGGACATGTACCGCAGACCTAAAGACTCTTGTTATCAACTGTAAACCTTTTTATTCTCCTCGTGAATTCAACAGTTTCATGCTAATGGGAGTTTAGTTTATTTATAGGCTGCTCACTTGTAAAGCTGTAAGCATTGGCTGTTTAATTTATCGGAAGTGCTGGTGGATACACTGAAAGCACGGGTAGGTCACAGCAACCTGTGGTCCAACAGATGCATTCGAGCAGCCAGCTGCCTACTACGGCTCTCTCCTCTGGTCTAATCAACTGCTGCCCTCATTTCCAGACACCTGCAGGGAGAGTTACACCAGCTGGTGATTGAGGAGAGATTGGAGCGGGCAAGAGTGCCACAACCCATTAGCCTGGAGACAGAGCTTGGGGAGTGCTGCCGAGTCCGACTTTGTGATGTCGTGACTGTGTGTTTCAATAGTATGTACTTCTAGCCAGGGAATCTATTCAAAGTCAAATTTAAGGTTTATTAAAACCATTCATAAACACCCGGAGTGCTGATGTCAATAGCAGCCTACATGGAATATACGTAAGAAAGTTACATTTTCTTAACAGAGATGAATAAGGTAAGGTGTTGGAGTGGTGAGTCATTAACTCTAGATAAAGTCTAGTGGATAGGTACAATGTGAAAAACTGTGGTCTGTAGTTAGAAAGAAGTCATCTTACCAGACAGCTGTAGCAGCTGCTCTCTGCTAGAGGCTCCAGGCTACATTAGCTACTACCAGAGTAACAGGAAAAAAAAAATAAATAAATCAGATCTCTGACTGAAACTGCTGGCAGTCAAGTTGCATTATGGGTAATGTAGGTGCCATGCTTAGACAAGCAAGAGGAATTCGTGTAAAGAAAACTTTAATATGCCCAACAATGTTATAAAAGAGCTACACTAAATTATACTCCTTTAACTGGAGACTGGATAATGTGTCCAACTGGAAGCTCAAGTAAATATCTGCAGGTAAATATATGCAACAGCACTGCAAGTCCTGTTCACATAGACAGAGAAGACCAAGGCACAGGAGCAGTCAAATTTCATTATCAAAAAAAAACAAGATTACAATAACTATTTATAATAAAAATTCTTATGTAAACCAAACCACACCAAAAGAGAATAATACAATGTAAATTTAAAAAAAAAATTATATAAATAAAATAAAAATACCTGAGATGGACTGAGACTGTTGAATTGATGTACCTGGAATTTCTTTCTCCACTAACACTGGATCGCTTATGAGTAGCTTGTAGAAGTAACAAAAGTAGTTTGAGGCTTGATGTACCAGGGGAATCTGAATGTGGATCAATTAAAATAATAACTAGCCTGGAGCTAGAACATCCCGACTCTCCACTCATTGTTCTAGGGGACTTCAACTGAGCAAATCTCAACCCACAAACTGCCCAAATACAGGCAGCACGTCAGCTGTCGCACCAGGAACAAAAATCACACTGGACCACTGCTACACAACAATAAAAAAATGCCTATCGTTCTGTCCCCCGCGCATCCGTTGGATGCTCTGCTCACTGTATGGTCCATCTGATTCCAACCTACATGGAGAAATTTAAAGCTGCGAAGCCTGTGGTCAAAACAGTGAAGAGGTGGACTACACAGATTGGAGTGTATTTGAGACTACAGCTACAGACCTGGACGAACTCGCTGACACTGTCACATCTTATATCAGCTTCTGTGAGGAAGTGTGTGTGCCCAAAAAGTCCTTCTGCACATACAACAACAACAACAGGCCCTGGTTTGCAGCCAGACTCAAGCTGCTTCGTCATGCCAAAGAGGAGGCCTACAGAAGTGGGGACAGGACTCTGTACAGCCAGGCCAGGAACACACTGACAAGGGAGATCAGAGCAGCAAAGAGGAGCTATTCTGAAAAGCTGAAAACTCAGGTTTCAGCCAACGACACCTCGTCTGTGTGGAGAAGCTTGAAAACCATCACTGGCTATAGGAAACCATCTCCCCCGCTGAGGAGGACCGTCAGCTGGCAGATGACCTGAATATATTCTACTGCAGGGTTGACAATCAACACTCCTCCCTCACCCTCCCACCTCAGATCCAGCAGCTGCTCCCTCAACAATCACCACCCTTTCCTCCAGCCCCCCCCCTCTAACAATCTGTGAAAAGGATGTGTGTGGCCTCTTTAAAAAACAAAGGATCAGAAA